TTTTTTTTTTTTTTTTTTTTTTTGTGTGATGTTTAATTACCATTAATTTTTATGTGCTTATAATCACTTCATTTGTGGCAGAAAAGTCAAAACAAAGAAGCTGAAGCTTGTGGGTGTCTTCAAAAGTGTTTATCAAATTGAAGACAATTATAAATGACTTCTGCAGCAATCACTGACTGGAAACTGAATGAGTTGAGTGAACTAATTACAAAGTTTTTAGAATTAGACAGTTTGATTTGGTATTGCTTAACAGCAATTTTTTATTAGCAATTTATTTTCTAAATATGCATACAGCTTAATTATGACTGATAGAGACAGAAGAGTTATTCCCTTATCTATATGGTTTTGTAGGTCTTAAATTACAACAAGAAATATTATCAAATTAAAGCTTTTTACCTAGTTATTGAGTAGCAATTAATGAGTTCTAAGCAGTGCTGTATTTTTTAGGTACATCGGTATTCCCCAACAACAGGACCGTTGAGCATTGAAGATGACATCGTTCAACTTTTGACAAATCATATGGAACTTTAGGCTTAAGATGACTGTATTATATAATAATTATGTCGGATTTAGTGTTTTAAGCTTTTTACATTTTTCTTGCATTTGAATTGTTATTTGCTCTAACAAACTTGTTCTCTGAGAAGAGTTTTAGCGCTACATAGTATTCTATGACTGTTGAAAAGCGAGGCACTTTACTGGTTTTTCAACGTTCTTAGTTTTTCAAGAACAGTAAAAATTTCTGGGAGTGTATTATTGATTGTAATTAGTCTTGCTTTTTCATTATAATGAAATAAATTGTTCTCGATGAGTATTATATGCACAGATGGATATCAACGATGATATTCTTCAACACCATTTTCATCGTGAAAACACATTATATTAGGGACTTGGATATTAAGGGTATTTGCTGTTTAATGAAGCATATTTTTAGACTCAAAAGTATTTTTAGCTTCATCTTAGTCTTGTTGCCATAACACGTTAAACCTGTTTTACTTTTCCAATTCCTAAGCATGATTCAATTTGTTCCCGACTTTCTCATTTGAACAGTTAACATTTATTTTACTATATTTGGCTTCAGTGATGCCACCTTCGTATTCTCTACCGTCTTTTTTTGAAAAAAAACTATGTTTTTGAAGGATTTATTGTTTGGTTGATCAAACTGTTGCTCAGCAGAATAACAGATTATTTTTAGGTTTAACCAATAATGTGGTTAAAGGTAAGCGGTAGTTGTTTTCCTTGTTTTTTTTCCTCTTGAAAAATTCAGTTTTCTGCTAAAATTAGTTCAGTGATTTACCAGGCTTTGCTTGCCAAAAAATAGTTAATTTGTAATTCCTCATAGAAGTGTCATATGACCATTTAGGTTAGTCATCTACTGCGGATTTCAAGGCCTTAAAAAAACTGACGATTTGGTTTTGCTTTTAGCTACCACTGTATTGACTAAAAAAAAAAAAAAAAGAGGCAAAGTTTTTAAAGACATTTTCTTAACAAAGCAGCAGGAAATAGGCTTGAAAAGTGATGCAAACAAGGAACATGATACATGAGTAATTTTTGAAAAGAATTTAGATCTTTGACAAAAGAATTGTCTCAAAAAAAAAGCAACAAAAAGCAAACCAGCATGAAATTTTTACATCAAAACAACCAAGCTGTTTTGATGACAACGAAAAGAAATCGAAAATAAAGTTGACTATATAACACTTGACAGTCATAGTGAAGTCGTAGCAATCCTTCTTTTTTTTTGTGCTTCGTGACATCAGTTTTGCCTTTTATAAGGCTAAGAATGTCTCGGCATTCAAAGGACTTCCTATGAATTTACTAATAAATGTTTTAGCTGAACGGCTTTTCCCTTTTCGTACATAGCTGCGGAAGGGAATGCGTCATACCAAATAACAGTTGAATGGAATTTTAACTTTGAAACCGCTAAAATAGGAAAATCAGTTAGTGCCTTTTACATGAACTGAAATAATTTTGTATTGACTTTCAAAATCTGTATACTGATATCATTGTAATCTAATGTAAAACAGTAATTAATTCTACAGTTTTAGGGAGTTTGGCTTTAAGTTTAAAACAAAACTTTTGTTGAAGAGGTTTGATAAAATCTGCATATCAACTATGAAAAAAAAACTCTTTATCTGTGATACTAACGTCTAAAGTGAAAAAAAAAAAACAAAAGAACAGAGCAGAAACAGTTAGACGTTAAGCAATAGTTGAAGATGAAAAATCAAGCTTGAAAATGCCATTATTTTTTTTCAAGACTACAGTACACTTTCGCCTAAATGTTTCTTATTTTCGTTACTGTTTAGCATTTAAACTATGTATATGTTTTTTGGACAAAAAAAAAGAATTCTTTTTTTTTGTTTGACGTCAGCAGTACAGTGGTGATCGAGTAGTGCTTACTAAGTTAGCAAAAATATGTGCTGATATATACGTAGTTGAAAAAAAAAAGGTAACTTTTAGTTAACTAGCAATAGCAAAAACAAATAACTGAATGTAAGTTCTAAATGCATTAAGATCAGTTCAAAATATTTCCTGTTTGAAATCAACTTAACATTAATATGGTTATGTATATATGCATATATTTATATATTTATAGAAAGCATAAAAAAGTGGAATAACTAATTGGGCAGCACAAGAAGTAACACTAATATATGAACTTGGAAAAAAAAAATAAAGATTATATGGGTAGTGTTAAGTGAATGTCAGTTGTCAAACGTTGGCAACTTTGCAGTTTGTCTAGAAAATCTGTTGACAGACGACATTTTTTCCTCAACATTACCGTTGTTTTAAATGTTTTGCTTTAAGTTTATTCTATTGGTTTAAACAATCTCAAAAGTTATGTTTTTAATAATTTCTTGATTTTTCGCTTCTATTTTTTTTTCCCTGCTTTGCTTCTTTTTGGTAGTATTAGTTTCAAATATCTGGTATCGAGATCAGTGTTCAACAAAGAAAAAAAAAAAAAAAAGAAATGGCATTTTGTTGGCAATTAATAGGATGCAAATAAATGATGTAACACTTCTAATTATACAACAAAGAACATCTAAAATCTGCACTTGAGAGATGAAAAAACTATACTTAAGTTTAGTAGAAAAGTCTTCATTTACAGATAAAAGCCGTAAAAAAAAAAGTGGCATCAAAAGTTTAGAATTAGAATCCAATTTTTAGCTGATACTTCTTCTTTGTTATTTTTGTTGTTGGCCAAAAGAAAAAGTTTGGCATAACATTTTTGATGCATCAATAAAGTGGTGAAAATATCAAATAATTGGCCCAAAAGAGAGAGAGAGAGAGGAGTTTATATTTAATGACTACAGTATTAGTTATAAACATAATAATTGGCTCAGATAAGGAATATTTTTAGTTTTAGTTTTAGTTTTTTTTTTAAATCAAATATAAAATTGGCAATTAAAAGTGTTGGTAAGATATATAAATATAAATATACATATATATATTTCTTGTTGATGTCACTGAGCGTTGTTGTTGTTGTTGTTTTTGTTGTTGTTGTTTTTGCTATCATTCTGGTAAATATTTATCTATAAAAAGGAAAAAAAAGAGAGAGAGAGAGAGAGAAAGCAGTTAGTAAATAAATAAGAACTAAGTTTACTGGTTTTAATTATCTTTTTTTTTTAGCTTTTAATAAAATTACTCATAAATATTTTGAAAAATTTTACATTTTTATTGTAAGCAAAATGAGGCTGATCGCTAAAAAGTGAGTAAAGTATCAAAACCTTGTAACTTCCATTTGATTGATGCTTAGTGCTCTAAGATTAGTGTGCTAATTGTTGCTAGAAATTTTAACTAATTTTAATGCTACAGTTTCAGTTCTGCTAATACTGTTAAAAAAAAAATTTTTGGTTGAAAATATTATTGCAAAATAGCTGCAGAAAAT